AAACGAAGATATCAATGCATTCCTGTGATGCATTTCTGTAATCCCATTTGTATCTATATACCAGACTATCTTGTATCTAACAAAAAAAAAAAAAAAAAAAAAAAAAATTGGACAAATTCATTATCATAAATCTTGGAACGTTCTTATCGTTTGAATCAGACAAAAAGAGAACGTAGATCTTGTACGAGAAAAATCTTGTACTACCTATACTTTTACGTGAGTAATTTGAGGGAGGTCTTATTGCATGGCAGACAGTAGTAAATCCAAAGAATCTCAATGGAACGAGATTGTCCAAGATCGAAAGAAACGCATCGCTATGGAGCACAACATCCCAAAGTATCTCATTGATCTTTTCCGAAGAGGGAAGGGAACGTGCGTCGACTCGAAAGTTGTGCTGGATATTCCATTTCGAAAAAAAAGACAGTTTAAGAAGAAGAAGAAGAAGAAGAAGAAGAAGAAAAGAAGAAGAAAAATCAGAATAAAAGAAGAAAAAGAAAAGGAAAAAAGAAGAAGCAGAAGAAGAAGAAAAAGAAAAGAAGAAGAAAAATCGGAATAAAAGGAGAAAAAGAAAAGGAAAAAAGAAGAAGAAGAAGAAGAAAAAGAAGACGAAGAAGAAGAAGAAGAAGAGGAAGAGAGAAGAAAAGAACGACGAAGAAAAAGAAGATGAGAAGTGGAAAAAAGTCCATGGCTCTGATAATGTCGTGCGGAGTTTCGGGGTACCACTTTCACCGAATGAAAGTAAAACTCGATTCGCTGGATACGAAACGACCAGAATGAAGAGGAGGAGAACGAGGAGATGGAGGAGAAAGAAAGGACGACGACTCTTCGACGATTTCGAGCAGCGGCCGAACGTCGCCATCGTGCTAGGTCTCAACGTACGGACGCGTTTATGGAGATCATTAAGAGCACCGCGATTCGACTTTGTACGCAATGAAATTTGGCCCTAAAAGAACGAAGAGGCGGAGTAGTAGGAGAAGGAGGAAGAGGAAGAGAAGGAGAAGGTAGAGGAAAGGGAACTTTTACTCTACGATGTCCAACCTTGGATTACATGACATGACCCTTGACCTCCTCCAAGTACTTCGACTCGTTCCAAAACAGAATAAATGCATCTCTCTGCATTTCTCTTTTCTACGAGGATCATTATATAGATTTGATTACTTTGACTTTTCATTTATTTAACATATTGTACGAGTCATAATAACGATAAATTAATTAACTTTGCATTTTTAATAAATAATTTCTTAATTTATTTGTATCGATAAGAAGTATCGACAAAAAAAAGTTTTTAATGAATTGAAAATGTAAATTTTTGTATTTTACTGTTGAAAATAATATGTTTATAATTTTTTCCAATGTTATTTTTTAATTCAATAGAATAGAGAGAGAGAAATATATATATATATATATATATATATATATATATATATATTACAAACGTATATGAAATTTATGTAAATTTGACGAAAGAGATTGTAAAAGACTGGCAAAATAGAATTTCTTTATTCCGAAGATGCATCGAGACTAACTTCGATAAAGTTTTACGAGAAGACAGAAAAAGAAAAGAAAAGAAAAGAAAAAAAAAAGGGACATATAGGGTTCGTATATGTCTTGAGTATGCACGCGACGAATAACGCGACCCTTTAAATTTACGATGGAGAAATATAGACGACAAGAGAGAAATAACATGCGTGCTTGCATTACTTCTTTCTTTTGAAAGATTCTACGTTTTTTGTATGGTACATCGACTTTACTATATTCCTTTAACTGCCGCGGCAAAAGCTCATTCTAGTTTTATCCTTATCGAAAGATAAAGATAGTTAGAAATAGAAAGATAGAATGTGAGTCTACACTCAATAATATTTTTCCATCTTATCTTATTTACTTTAATATCGAAAATATTAAAATCGATAAATTTATATGATTACGATATCAATATTAATTTGTATTTATCAAGAACGTATTATTTTTTTATTAAATATCTATCGATGATTTATTTTTAGATATATAATAAGTACAATAGTAATTTTTTTTTAGATATATATATATATATATATATATATATATATATATATGATTTTATTACATATATAATACTGATTTTGCGAAAAAATTTAATGTACTTTATCACTATGAAGATGGAAAAAAAAAGAAAGAGAAAAAGAAAAAAGAAGAAAAACAAACAACTCGTTAAAAAATAATTACAATATAAATATAATTATTATATTTATATTGTAACATTGACAATTTACATTCTTTTTTTTTTTTTTTTTTTAAAGGGCAACGAATCTATAGAATAATTAATAATTTTCCATAGAACGAAATAAATCATTTGATATTCTTTCGAGGTTATTGAAATAATTTATAAAATTAACTATCGAGTCTTGTGTCGCGGCGAAAAAACAAAAAGAAAAAAAAAAAAAAAAAAAAAAAAAACAAAAAAAAAAAAAAAACAAAAAAAAAAAAAAAAGGAATCGTTTGAGAAGATGAAAAGTGCGCCCCGGAGAGCACTGCAAAAAAATCCTGATCCTTCGCTCGATCTCCTCGCGTACTTTCTCCTTTAAGTCTCCGACGATTTTAGGTGAGAAAAAGAGACAAGAGAAGAAAATGCGCGATACGCATCGGTTGAGGACGGGACGACGTTCCTCCCTCAACGGGACCATGGGATATGTCTTTGGACATCCGAGTACATCCATGGCTCGCTCTACGATCGTAAAACCTATCTTTATGGTTCACACCTTCTAGACGCGGGCCACATAAACTCGCTCCCTCAGTACGTTCTTCTTTGCTTACGAGCTACCACCAGACTGCACACTTGCCTGAGCTTTTCAAGTTCTAACGACGTTGCGTTTACATTGCATATGATAAGAGAAAAGGAGAGGGAGAAAGGAAAGAACAAAAAAAAAAAAAAAAGAAAAAAGAAAAAAAAAAGAAGGAAATATATATAATCGTGATCTTGAGTCCTATAACAGTCTTTCTTCTTCATTTTCTTTTCTTTTTTTTTCCTTTTCTTTTGGTTAAATCCGTGATTAAATTTACAATGTAGCAATTTTTTACATTTACAATGAAGCAATTAATTTACAATTGTGTAAATTCCTTCATTTTACATTTAATCACAAATGATTAAACGTGATGACACGTGATTAAATTTACAATGGAACAATTTATACAAAGATATTAAATTTGATTATGACGAAATTTGTACTTTAGACCTTTTGAAAAGTTTTTAATTGGTGACTCGAGAGGGGGGAGGGAGGGAGGGAGGTTTCGTTTCTCCTTTTCATTTTTTGTTTCTTTTTTTTTCCTTCTTTACTCCCGTATGTAAATTTTTATTCCTTAGTTCGTACTAATTAAAATCATATATTCCTTTAATCGTTCATTTAAAATCGAGAAGAAGAGAATCGTTAGAAAGATTATAATTAAACTCATAGCGAGAATATCGCAGTGGGGATTGAAAAGCCCAAAGGTGATCCGTTTCGTGGGAAATCGTCGGTTAGAGAAAGAGAGAGAGAGAAAGAGAGAGAGAAAGGAGAGAGAGAGAGAGAGAGAGAAACCGCAACGACTTAACGAGAAATCGGAAGGACAAAGAACGCAAACTTACTCGAAGGATTTCATCCCCGCGTGAAATTGCCTTCCCTCGAACTCCACTGATTGCAGCTTCTTTCTTCCGTCCTCCGGTCCAGAGTGCTTTTCTTACGGTTTTAAAAGCGCGATATCGTCGAAAAACGAATACCTATTTCTCTCTTTTGTTTTTTCCCCTTTTCAGATTCCAGCGAAAATCAGATTTAAAAGCAATGAAAATGTTGCAAGCTTGTATCGTACGAAGTTAAGTGAGATGATATCTTTACGACCCTTGGACGATTTTGTGGCGTAAGCTATCGGAAGATATATATCCTAGAATCGAACGATAAATCTTTGCCGGTTTTTATCTCATATCATTTTCTCTTGTATCTTGGCTAAAGATTAAAGATGATTGAGAATTTTTGACGATTGAACGTCTTATTTGTTACCTTTTTTGATTTCTCGAAGTAAAGAATTTTTACGAGTTCGTAAAAATATATCATCGAAAAGATATGAACACGAATTCGCGAACGTGCGGATTTTACGAACGTCAAACGTAAAAAGGGCGCGAGGTTTGGTTCTCTTTATGATGTCAAACTTTCAACCGAATAGATTTATTTCAGCGTGTGGTTTATTTCCGATGACTTTTCATATCGGTTTTAGAACATCAAAAGTATTTGCCACGATACCTCTTATATGATGAATTTGAAATATTCCATCATTCATTCTATCTTCTCTTTGCTATTGGATCTTGTTTGTTTTCTTATAACTTTATAGGATTTCCTTCGTGTTTTTAAAAGCACATTCGATCGACTCTTTTTGATCTTTTATAAATCCAATGATTCTTTCTTGTTTATTTTTAATTCATTACAAAGATTGTGTTCAAACTTTTCCCTTAAATTATATCCACGAGATATATATATATATTAAATCAAATAAATTTCATTAAAACATTATCTTCTATGGGAACGAAAAGATACCGACGTAATATCTTTTTTTTAACAGTGTCGATAACTTTTCTTTCGTTGATAAGGAAGAAATTTGTTTTACCGACACGACAAAATAGTCTCGTCGGTAACTTATCAACCAAGAAAATTTTTCAATGACGAAATTACAAGTATGAAATTATATTATGGAAGACTTATGATTCAGGGTAGTAATTGATATTCGACTGTATACAATGGATTAACTGTTGAATAATTTATCCTTTCATGAATTTTTAATGATAAATTTAATAATGTCTGATTATACGAGCCATTGTTGTTTGCATTGTATTTTTAATCTAATGAAAGAAAGAGAAGACAGATACAGAGAGAGAGAGAGAGAGAGAGGAAGAGAGAGAGAGAGAGAGAGAGAGAGAGAGAAAGAGAGAGAGAGAGAGAGTATTAATTGATTCCCATGAAATAAATTTATTTCATTATCGAGCGTATTACGAGAATGTTGTTCTCAGAATTTTAAATCGATTCTGTTTGTTTTTAAGTACCGTTAATATCCATGAAAGATAATAAAACAGATTATTTCAAATCTATTATCGTTGTATCATTAAATCTTCTCAATTACGATCGAAGACAAAGAAATCCATGAGATTCTATAAAGGAAATGATAGTTGTAAGACGATTACAACTACAGCAGGATGAGATTTCATTGACAACCTTTAACATTTATGATAGTCGATCGGTAGTCTTTCTCATAAAACTGATCGTATAACTCGGTTCAATTATCGATAACGTGTCAGTTTTAACGCGTTAGATATCACGTTCTTTCCTCTATTTTCGTCCCAATAAATTTAAAAATATCCAATGAAGAATGAGTTATTATTCTTCTTCCATTCCCCTCCCCATCCACTTCCATTTTCCCTTCCCTTTCGTCCATTCGAGGCTACTTGATATCGTACGGATTGATCTAAAAATGATGGAGATCTTTGATAATTAACGTGGATATTCCAGCACTTTAGAAAATTGCCTTCAGATTTTCATTCGAACAACGAGAGTTTTAGTCGATGGGAATATTTGTTTTTGTTGTTGTTTTTATATTCGTTCTATGCACTAGAAACGTGAATCTAGGTTAGGATTAATCTACAAGGATTCACCTAAATACGATCGATCGAACATCTGTCCGGTTTGACCACTTTTTTCTCGAACAATTTCCCCGGAGTCTCTTCAAAAAGGAGTCTCCTACCGATGACGCACATGCAAACCTTAACTTGATGCAGCTGGCACGATGTTATTGCAAGCGTGGCTCTGGATTTAATTTTCTGCGCGTCCTCTAATCCACTTCAACCTAGATGCGACGATGAAGCATCGTAGAAGACTTTCGCGTGATGAGGCTTAGGGTTGGGAGTTTACGTTAATAAGACGAGATTGCGTCAAGTGGAAGGATCTCTCGTTTTCCTTTAATACGAAGAGATTTTCTTTGAACCTAAAGTTCATTAAAAAAAAAAAAAAAAAAAAAAAAAAAGAATACAAAAAAAAACAAGAGAAAAAAAGACACAAAAAAAAAGAAATAATAATAAATAAAAAGAAAGGAAAAAAGTATGTGAAACGAAAATAAAATAAAATATAAGTAAATGAATATTAATCAAATTGTTAATTATATTTGATCCATTATATTTTGAGATATATCTGAACGATCTCTATAAATATATCGATTTTATGAATATCTAAAATATCGATTTTCGTAATCAAAATACTTTCGTTACGTTCACATCCATCGATCCATTCTTAACGGTGTGTATCGTTTAATTAGATTATTTCCGAGTATCGGATAAGCAATTACTAAACGTATGTAAATTCATTCTAGCTAGCATCGATATTGAAAATTATTCTCGACAGACCGTACACAATCGGCTAGAGATGTTGCGATTCGTGGAAGATTGGAATCTGTGGGATGTTTTTCCATTGAACGTGTGACGTCTATTCCTGTAATTTCCCGTATAAATACATGTGGGTTAACAGTATGCGATTATACGTGATACTGAACGAAAGGTATAGAGATAGAAATAGGTAGATAGATAGATAAAGAGAAAGAGAGAGAGAGAGAGAGAGAGAGAGAAAGAGAGATAGAAAGGAGATAGTAGAAGCCACGAGCTTGCTAGCTTACGGTAGGTAAGTACCGTTCGTTCGGACAACAGCTGTTGCAGGTGCATCCAATCGTTGCTCGTTCTATGCTCTCGATCGACTTTGGTTGTATGTATGTATGTATGTATGAGAGAGAGAGAGAGAGAGAGAAAAGAAGGGGTCTTTACATCCGTGAAAACGCGAATTTCTAGTGAGACATACACGATTAAAATTGGATATCACAAAGACTGTTATCGAATTTATATTGTTTAATTAATTAACTTTTTCTTCTTGAAAGGGAAAAAGAAAAAAAAAAGAATATGTGATTCTTAATCGAACATAAATCGATCTTTGTAAAGGTTATTAAACTGGATTATTCCCGATAATATTTATTAACGAACGATTCATAATTGTTTGTTTTAATCATACCTGCATCCCTGACATCATGTTGGAAATGATTAATCGTCGGAGTCAAGATAACTCCTGCTGCGAGTTGCAAGCCATGAGAGAGTAACTGTACTAAAACGGCCACGAGAATTATAGTTCGACCCCAACCACCCTCAGGATAGTAATGTTTCTTCAAAGTAAGTCTCTTTCTGGCATTAATACCTGTGAAAGATTCTTCCTCGTCTTCGGCATTGTCATCTCGTTCGGTTACGAGGGTTTCAAAATCTGGGAAACTACTGAGACCAGCTTCCAATATAAGCTGTTCGGAAAATCGTCTTTTGTACATCTTAGGATTGACTTCGGTCGCATTACTCTTTCTGCGATTCTCAGGAACGCTTGAAATCCCTGAATCGTTTCCGTCCTTCTCGTTGTCAGTCTCGTCGGCTTCTTTAACAGCGACATCGTCGGTACTCGCTCGTTGAAAGGACAGCCAAGATCTTTTCTGTCCCGCCTTCGCTAGGAATCTCGAAGAGAGTCTCGATCTCAAGTGGTTATTGCACCTAGCCGTACACTCACAGATGGTATCTCTCGGTGTCTGTTCAGAGTATCTCCGTCTATCCGCGTATTCGATCTGGCAGCCACGAACGAAATGCGTTTGATCGGAATGCCGCCTTTGAATCGAGTCCTTCTTGACGATCGTTTCGTTCTGATCTGAGTCTTGGCCATTGTAGTTACCGATACGATAGAGACTAACAGCTGAGTTTCGTCCTGACGTCGGTGGAAGGAAGCTTTGGCAGGTCGATACCGAGTAACTCGAATCCTTTCGTTTGAAACTACCAAAGGAGTCTCTTCTTGAGATCGCGGATATCCTACGACGCTGACGGTTACAACACTGATTGCATGAACACTGATAACGACAACGACACTGACACTTGTTGTTTATATCCACGTAACACTTGCATCTGGTCAATCTCGATAATATATCGGGATAAGAACGAAGTACCTCGTGAATCTCAGCCTCGCTCCAGGATTTACTACTAGAGTTCGCGGAAGTTGTGCGATTTAAATCTCGTTTAGAATCGAAACTAGTCGATGACCAGGTCACCGATTCTATGCTCGAATTTTCTCGGGATTTTGTACTTCTACGTAAAATGGTAGAACCCGTTTCTAAGCTTCCCCGAGAATAACGACGTTCCACGTGTTGTAAATCGTGATCCTCGATTGTATTTTCCTCGGTCATTGCTTCGCTATAAGAATTACGTCGTTTGCGATAAACGTTCTCGTCCGGTGTACCGGATACGGACTGATGTTTCTTTTCCATCACGATAAAAAAAAAAGATCTTTCGAGTTGTCTACTTCTTTTTTTTTTTGTTTCTAGTTTTTATTTTTCACGCACGAAACGCCGATTCCTTTCGTGATCGTTTATTACGCTCGATTTCACTAACCGATCGATACTGAATGATTTCGAGGGAAAAAAAAAGAAACAGAAGAGAAAAAAATAGCGAAGGTCCCTCTTGGTCCTTCATCGATATATCGTGATTCCTCGCACGCAAAGAGAACCTACGTGAGAACCGTACGACATAACCCGTCCCGAATCTTGATAGATTGTCCTGATTTTTCTCTCACGCGTGTCGTGTCTCGCCTATTGATTCGAATCACGACGCTTGCCACTTTCGTTTCTTTACAGTGTGGAAAGTGAACTTGATAGATACGATTTCCATTTCATAAAAATATGTTTCAACTAATTTGTATTCATATGGTGTTATGCATGGGTTAAATGAAATAAAACGTCTGAGAATATGTTCACATATTTACTGGATCGACTAAATATAGACGCGTTACGCGAGCCCTCTCAAATGGAATTAATTTTCTAATAAATTTGATTGCTTTTTTTTTCGATTGGTACAATATATGTACGTGCGCATGAAGTTTTTGTATCTCATTTTTTCATCGGATTTTGTACGCTCAATTGAAAAGAAAAATCTATATTACTAAATATTTCTAATGTTCCTGAAAAGAGCTATCTGTAAACTACTTGATTTACCCTTTTATAACTATAGACAAACTTATATGTGTTGAACGTGACAACGAGACTTAAAGTAGGATGATACGACTGTGATTGATGATAAACCGAAAGATTATAGTATGGATCGTTGAATGATTGAGTCTTTTTTTTTTTTTTCTACTTCTTCTTATTCATCCTTCCAGAGATGGTCTTTTGAGAATTACGGTGACATAATTTATCATTCGAATCTTATGTGTTACTTTTAACACGTAAAATTTTTCTATTTTCGCACGGCACACGTAATTATTATTATTATTATTATTATTATTATTATTAGTATTATTATTATTATTATTATTATTATTATCATTAACATCTTGAAATAATATCTTTTTAAATCTTGTTTATTAAGATCTTCTTTTAGTACGTGTAAGATAAAAATTTTTTTGTACGATAAGTTAAAAATTATCCTTGACGTTTTTCTTAATTATTATTAAATATTTGAAAATTTTTAATAGGAACGAGACAACGTTTATTAGTAAGCCTTCATTATTATATATCATGAAGTAGAAAGGAGGATGACAGAAGAAGAAGTCGAGTTCGTAAATATTTCTAGACGGTATTCTCCTCGAGATATTCTACGAACGTCTTGCCTCATATAACGCGAAAGTTAAGCCACCGTTGTTCGCCACGGTGGCTTTACAGAATTTTCTACAACGTTCCGGCAATATTTTTAACCGTAGGAGAAAAGGGATGGGATGAAACCAACGACGTTGCATTTCGAGTTACGTATCAACCCCTTCGGGGTCGCTCGTTTTAAATGAACCTTTGTCTAGACTAGGTGAATAATCGGATAAGAAAATTTATAAAAGTAAATTGAAGATAATGTTCTAACAAAATATATTTCATAAGTTTATTGATACGTTCAGAATTTGTTTATTAATCTAAGAATGAATTTCGCAGATATATTACGATATTACGTATATATCTAATTCGATTTACTTATGTATTTAATAGAAGATAAATCAAAATGAAATTAATGAATCAATTGTAAAATCGATGAAACGATCGAAAAGACATACCTGCGCTATGAAGAGGAGGATGATGAAATTTAATTTGAGCCATGATATGCCAAGTTCCGGGTGCGGCAAATTGCAATCCTATACCAAGAAAATGTACGAGCATCGAGCACGTGACAATGACATATCCCCAACCACCTTCAGGATAATAATGTCTCCTTAACGTTGCCTCCTTACAAAGATCATACGTTGGTCGACAAGTTTGTCGATTAACGGAGGATAATCCATATCTTTTTTTCTTCCCTAAGGTCAATTCTCTTTTAGCTAAATAACCACTGGCAAAAGATGTGGCACGTCCATCGGGCCAGGTACTTCTACCATGGGGATTTGATCTATCGATTTCTCTTCTCTTTTTACTGAGAATACTCTGAGGACGTGTCTGAGATCCGTTTATCGAGCCATTGGAAGCATCGTATGCAATCGGCGATCGGAAAGGATCGACCTGTAGTCTTAGCTGTCCTTCCGAAGTACACTTGGGGCAAGCATGCCGATCGCTTTGCGAGCTCGTGCCGCCGATTCGATCGTAGTCGACGATCTCGATATGTGGCGTCAGCACCACCGTAGGCTTCGATGTCTCCCTTTTTTCTATTATATTTTCCCTCTCACTCTTTCCTTCATTTTCTTTCTCTTTTTCATCTTCCCTTCGTTCTATTGCCAACTGGCTCGTATCAGCCAATAAAGTAACTTCATTCTTCTCCTTAACGTCATCCTTTAAACCGATCGAAGCCACGTCGAAGATCTTTAGCTCGATGCTGCTTTTGCTTCTTCTTCTTCTTCGCCTGCTGGCTGTCGAGATCGTCGAGGATAAAGACGACGTCTCGACGTAAAGTCGGTGCCGATTGAGCGCCCTCAGCGACGAATGTAACGTCTTCCTTTGAAATTCACGATGTGGTCTCGATTTTCGATCGATTTCCACCATCGGATTTACGTTATCTTCGTCTTCGTCTTTGTCTACTTCTACTTCCTTCTCCTTTACTACTATTACTTCTTCTTCTTCTTCTTCTTCTTCTTCTTCTTCTTCTTTCTTAGTTTTATCGTTGATCGTCACGTCATGCGTCAAGGATTTACCAAAGATCTTGGATTTCTCTTCTTCCTCCTCTGACGATCTACTAGTTGGTACAATCGTGAAAGCTCGTGAAAGAGGATCTACACGAACCCTTACGGTTCTTTGCGATCTGTCTGGCCAGGAACTGCTATGCCTCATTCCTTGGCCGTCCTCGCGACGTACCGTCATCTCTTCGTCTCTTCGTATCTTCTCCCTTCGCGAAAAAATCTTAAGGACCGTGTCGATCGATTATCGACCTTTTCGTTGTTCCCGCCGTTCTTTTTCTTTTGTCCCCGATCATAAATTTCCTCATCGACAGCCTCAAAAATAGACCGACGAGCCTCTTCTTTCCTAACAACTGGATCCATACGATAGATTGCGAAAAAGACCTATCGAATCTTTTTAATTTCCCTTCGACGAATTTTTCATGTAAAACGTACGGTAAAACGCACGGACACTCCGAGGATAGCATTTTTTAATTTTTATTCTCTTTTATCGTTTCCTTTGTTTTCTCTTTTCTTCGTTTTCTATTTTTCTTTTCTTAAAAAAAAAAAAAAAAAAAAAAAAAAAAAAAAAAAAAAAAAAAAAAAAATGAAAGGAAAAAAAGAACACTTAATTGTTCCGTCTTTTTTTTTGTTTTGTTTTTTCTTCAGTATTTTTTTTGTTTTTCTTTTTTTTTTTCCTTATTCGTTCGTTCAAATTTCTTATAAACGAAAGAGACCGACGTTGAGGAAAGATGAAAGAAAATAAAAGCGTGGGTGAGAAAGATAGTGTTAATACGTGTAATATGTGTAATTGAAACTATCCGGAAAGTGTTGGAAAAGGGAAAGTTGAAGTTGTTGGCAGAGGGAAGAACTGGTCCTGGCGAGTGCGCCAGGATGACTGCTACGCACGTGCTGCTCACTTGCGAGCAACCCCTCTCTCTCTCTCTCTCTCTCTCTCTCTCTCTTTCTCTCTCTTTCTAACTCTCTCTCTTTCTCGCATGACGATGGCAAGCGCATGCCTGCGGAATATTCGACAAAGTTACAAAACCTACCACCGTGTCTCTCTGATCATTAGAACATTTGATATCTTTTTTATTTTTCTTCTTCTTCTTCTTTTTTTTCTTGTTCTTTCTTTTTAGTTCTTTTTTCTTTTTTTTTTTTTTTGTTTTATATCATCACTCGTTTAACCTATTTAATGAAAATAATCATTTGATCATTTTCATTCCTCATTTTCTTAGCTTATCGATCGATTGTTCTTCGCAAATCCGTTGATATAACGTTTTAATTTATTTTTGCAATAATTAATTGGCTCGAATTCGTATGCAGGAACGTTAAAGACAAAGATTTATCGCCTGACTGGAATAATCCCTGCAAATGCGACGAATAGCTCCTGAGAAGTTTTACTCGTATTACGGCCGATTTTAGATCGCCTTCTGTGATCTTCGATTTAATTTACAAGGACCGTAAAGCACAATAATCTCGATGGAATGCGAACGATTTCTATTGGATATTTATTATTCGTAATTAAAAAATAATTCGTCGAGTTTAATTTTCGCATAAATTTCTTTTTATGATCTTTTGATCTTATGATCTTTCCTTTCGCATTCTTACATGCAACAAGATTACGTTAATACGTTCTAAACGATCGAATTTAAAAAGATAAAAGATTCGTCGAAATCTCTCCCTTTGTAACTGACCTACGACACGAGTCACGTAAAGCCGATTATCCGCCTACCGTACTTCGATTCGAAGAAGCCCCCAGTCGCTGCAAGGGGCAATGAATTACTATAGAAGGTCTGCCTGTTCTCTTCGAAAGGGTCTGGATTCTTTATGAATGAACCCACGGGGCAACAAATTAAATTTCTTTTTTTCTCAGCGAAGAATTTGCATTTTTGATAAAATAAATATTATTTACATGTACACTTAAAAGAATTGAATTTCATTGAAAAATAAATCTTCTCGACTTCAACCTTTCACCTATTCACGACGATAAAAATTTGACCGATTTAAATTAATAAATTATATCTAAATGAAATATGATCAATTTTTATAGTCCTAATCAATCTCTAAATAATTTATACATATACAATGTATGTGTCTTATTGTACGGTGAATTCCCATCCCTCGCGTGATTAAACTGCAGGAACTGCAGTTCTTTCTCCCTCCTTTCTTCCTACTCAGCTCCACTCACTCTCTCTCTCTCTCTCTCTCTCTTTTAAAATGTTTTTCGCAATGAAAAAGAGAAAGAAGAAAAAAAAAACCATTCAAAAAGGTAGGTCGAAACGGAGCGCGTACGTCAACGTTGCAAACGTTATTAGGGAAACAACATAATTATTATTACGAATATTCGAGTCCGAATTCCAGAGTCGACAGTTACGAGCGGAAATGAGGGCGAGTTCGCACGAGCGGGTGTTAACGATTTCGCGGGCGGAAAAAATGCATCCGCCCGGTGCCGAAGCGAGCAGTAAATTTAGGCAAGCGAGGATGCCGTGGACGCTTCCTCTCTTAAACTCTAGATTATTTATCTCGCTATTAAATCCACGTTACGAGAATAAAAAAGTTTTGGAAAATGACAGAGAGGGAAAAAGATGGAAGAGACGAGTGAGTTAAATAAATACAAACGACTTTAATGTGATAGAGAGAAAGAGAGACCGAAAGAGAGAGAGAGAGAGAGAGAGAGAGAGAGAGACCGAGAGCGAGAAAGAGGGAAAGAGAGAATATTACTGCCTGATACATTCAGTATACGTATCCTATCTTAAATCATAGATGATTTAGAACGATAATCTGGTCTTGTACTTTCCTTTTCCCCTTTGGCTAATACATCCTCCCTCCTTTACTGATCCACAATAACGAACGAAGACGAAGACGAAGACGAAGACGAAGAAGAAGAAGAATAAGAGAAAACGACGAAGTTCTCGAGTTATTCGCTATGACGCGCCGGCCGTCCAATTAAGGGAGAGCTCACGACGGGACTTGGCTCGCTTGGATTTAACGGGCTATAAAAATTGTTGCTTTGACGTTGGTCTATTCGCGGCTTGGTTGCGTATGCTAACGACGAGCAAAGAGAAAGAGAGATATCGAACTGAGAGAGTTCGAAGCTTTTCGTGATCAAAAGCTCTAGTCACGTTTCTTCGTAGTCAAGCCAAGAATACTGTTCTATGTCTAGTCGCATCTTTGCTTTTTACGATAGTTTTCTATGATCTCGTTCGTGTTCTACTTTAGATAAGTATGATAAATCACAATATACCCTGTATATATCCTAAGATTACACATACAATATGTATTTATTATACAATCGTGAGAAATGTATACTTCTTATCGGAATACAAATAATAAATATATATTTGTCGTAAATTATCTAAATAAATTACTAAAAGCGAATTACTATTGTTTTTAATCTAAATTAAGAAGCTAATATATTTAAATGTGAAATGAAATAATACTTCTTCTGTTTTTTCTTTTCCTTTTTTTTTTTTTTGTCTTTTCTTTTCTAATAGAAAATTACGAGAAATATAAATGTCATTCAACATTGAATATAAATTCTGAAAGGAAAATCATAGAAGGATATAATCTGGCCCACTTTCTAATCTAAATTCGAAGCTAATATATCTAATCAAAGATAAGAGATACGTGATCGAAAGTTTAACAAGATTCTTGTTAAGAGGAACGAGACTAGAACGTTCCTATTCGTTCTAATAACTGACACAAAACGCGAAGTATAATGAACACGAACTTTCTCTCTCTCTCTCTCTCTCTCCCTCTCTTTTTCTCTCTTTCTCTCTCAGCTTAAGACACTTATCTAAACGGTCTCTTAGAACGGACCGTATCGCTAACTTGGTGAAAAACTCTAAACTGCGTCTCCGCATGCAGGTCTCACGAGTCAACTCCTAAGTTTGTTCGTTCGTTTGCGTGTGGAACTTGAATTGTTTGTAAGAGAAAAAGAAAAAAAGAAGGAAAGAAAGAAAGAGAGACTTGGTGTCCCTTAAACACGTTCTACGATTAGACAACGATACCTTATCCGTTCTTATTATTACGAAGGAACTGAGAAACTAGGACGATCTTGATGTGTTAAGCCCAGTTTCTCTTACCTTACGAAAGAGTCCACGTTTAATTCACCTTCTCGATCCTCCGTCTTCTTAGTAGATAATGAAAAAGTTGTTTGAGATCCGGATCGAAACGGAAGCTCAAAGATAAAAAAGAGGACTAATTTACTTAGACTTTCTTTTTTTCCCCCCTCCTCTTGTTTTTCATCATTTTCCATAGAATATTTCTTCATTTCTTACCTTTACTTATTTCACGTCATTGATTTTTTTCTTTTTCTCTTTTTATTTATTTTTTTTTTTTTTGTAAGAGATCTTACCAATATCTCGTAAAGATAAGTATAAGTTTTTTCCACGAGAAAAAGAGCAAAAAACGGAGAGAGAGAGCGAGAGCGAGAGAAAGAGAGAGAGAGAGAGAGAGAGAGAGATGTTCCATACATCTTCTCGTAGAATCTATTTAACTCGAATATACAGAAGTTCGATCGCTGGACGTTGAAGAATCAAAAAAGCGACGCCTCCAAAAAGAGATCTTACTTTTATGCACATACAAACGTACCTATGCGATCAACATATATACATATACATACTTATACATACATATATATATATATATATTATATATGCATATATATGTATATGTATATCCGAGAGAGAGTATGAATATCTTTGGCTCGAGTGAACTTATCCTTTTGGATCTACGTACATACTTTTCTTTAAATTTATGACAAGTTTAGGAAAGAGTACTACTACTGAGATCGAGTTCAAGCCGAAAGTTAGATCGAACTTCGCGACATTACTTCGTTACTCCTTTTCTCGAACTTATTTTTATTATCCTTTGGGAATATCTTTAAAGAAAAGACAAACGATCGAGAAAATCGATGAGGCGTATCGATGAAGGGAAAAGTAATGAAAGGGAAGAATGTAGGAAAAAAAGGACAAAATGAAAAATCGTACTAAGAGCGAGGAAAAAAAAAGGAAGAAAGAGAAAGAGACAGAGAAGAAAATGATAATAAGAGCGCAGAGAAACAAACGATCAGAAATACGTTTTTCCAAATTTGATTGATAATGCTGTTGATTCTATCCTTAATGCTTCATTTTTATTTCGAAACAAACGATAAGAAATACGTTTTTCCAAATTTGATTGATAATGCTGTTGATTCTATCCTTAATGCTTCATTTTTATTTCATGCTTATTTTTTTACTTTTTTTTCTCTTTTTCTTTTTTCTTTTTTCATTTTTTTCTGTTTTTTTTTTCTTTTTTTTTTTTTTTTTTTTTTTTTCTTTAATTTTTTTTTTTAATCACGAAGAACATACTCATTCTGTTTTTAGGATAGATACTTAATCGCCAGTGAACTAATTTAAGTACTATTTCTTTGCTATTAAAACACTTGGGAGGAGAAAAAGGAGAAGAATGATTGGCGAAAGAGAAGAAGATTATTGAGAACGTCGATCATATATATGAAGTATGATCGATGTTATATATATATACATATATATATATATATATATATATATATATATATATATATATATCTTTTCATCTCTCTCTCTCTCTCTCTCTCTCTCTCTCTCTTCTCTATGCTTATGTTTCAAAGGGATAAGCAATGAAGTATCACAGATTCATAAGAAAGGAATCATCATCGTTGAGTTTATCACCGCGACGAATTTATTTATTATCGATGCTATTCAAGTCGTTCAAAGTGACTTTCATTCTAGCCTTGAGCTCATTCGCATAACGCAGAGCAGAGACGTCAATGCGAACGTCTTCCATAAGAAGATCGCAATCGAGATATCTGCTGTCACAGGCTCGATGATGATGCTTCAAGGCATCATTAGGATTCAGATGATGAGCTCTTCTCGTTGTTGGATTCAACGTTGTTAAAGCATAATGATTGTGCACGGTTAAAGCTCGCCTAGTTGAAATGAAACTCTTGACCGAGTCACCTTCAGGAGATATGTTAGAGGTCCTAACAGTGTCCAGATAATCTGGATTCTCGATGAAACTATCGGATTTGCTCTTGTTCTGCAACTCTCGGAAAAAGTAAGCGTTCCGTACGGAATAAGAGGCAAACTCTTCGAAAGTTTCACCGAGTTTCCTACGCTCGTCGAAGATCAGACCGTGCCAGCTTTTTCTCTTTACCGGTACGATTGCCTCATCTACGTCAATCGGTACTACAAATTCCGATCGACGTAGATTTTCGTAGAAACAGTGATTGTAAGGTATCAGTTCCATTCTTCTCTTTGTCCAGATATCATTGTTGAAAAATTCTCTTCTATCATTTTTATCCTTCGGTAAATCACCCGGCAGTGTTAAATCGAACCATCGAACTACATTCGATCTCTCGTATAATCTCAATACCTTCAGGACGTTTTCGTGAACATCGAAAACGTAGAAATAAAAGAGTCCGGCACCTAATATCCTATGTAATTCGACGAACGCCACTAATTTCTCTGATATATCTTCGTCGAAATCAAGTCCCTTGATACAAAGTGTGAATCTTTTGGAATTATTCGAGCTATAATCATTATGCGTCTCGTTGTCTCTAAATATGGCTAAACTATGACTAGGATTTTCGTAGCAGGACGTAGCACCGACGTATACTCGCGAAGGATACGCCGTGTATCCTTCTAACGACGGTAACTGACAGGATACTAGAATTCCCGTGTAACTGTCTGTCTCTCCTCCCCACTCTTCCAACCATATAGGCGAAACTAGAGCCTCCATGCTGTAACTTCGTATCCTTCCTTGTTCCTCCTCGTACCTGTGTGCGACAAACAGACAAGATGAAAGCGAATTAATTTTAATCGGTATGGTTGGATCCATTAGTATAATAAAAACATAAATGAGATATCTCGATGATTTGTATCTAATGAGAAAATTAACATCTCTGCGATCAATATTATATCTAATTTACATTTAATTATCTACTATTCAGACGAATATTATTTTTCTTATCAAAATATATTCGATAACTTTCATTTCATATTTTTTTTCTTTTTTCTTTTTCTTTTTCTTTTTCTTTTTTTTTTGTTCTTTTTTTTTTACCAAGTCATTTCCAAGAACCTATTTTATTGCTATTATGTAAATCAAATAATTACTGACTGCCTTGATCGAAGAAATAAATTAAAGTTTCCGGTCTCCAACTTGTTTCTCGTATTGCCTTAGCTCATCGACGCGGAAAGATGGTAAGGGTCAGCCATCTCTCTTTTTTCTCTTTCTCTTTCTCTCTCTCTCTCTCTCTCTCTCTCTCCTTCTTTTTCTCGCTCTTTCTATCTATCTGATAGAGAACGTTAGCGGAAAAGTGGCTCACCAAACGGTGCAGAAGAGCGAAGAGGTCGGTAGAGGTCCATGCTTGACGGCAATCACTCGGAGACTTGGATAACCGGCCACTCGAAGATCCAAGTGGCCGCTATAGAGAAAGAGCCGTCGAGGGATCGTCTCGAGCCACCTTATAGCGGTTAACTCGAACGCGTCCGACGTCGTTTCCAACGCCATTTCTGATGTCATTCCGTTCGTTCCATTAGCACCATCGCACTCCTTCGCAGGCCTGTAATCGAGTGCCAATCTTCGCGCCCACGAATATGCTACGATGCTTCTTGTACCTGGTGGTTCGCCTTCTTAA